AGGTAAGAACTCAAATAGTTCTTTTAACTAGTTTTTGTAGTATGATTTTTAAGGAATCATATGGTGGGTTAAACATGAAGTTCTACACGTTTAAAAGTGTAGAATATTGATATAAAGTGGTGATATTTAACTTAGAAGAGTTGGTGAATCGATAGGAGTCGAAATCGCCGGAAACCGCCACTTTAAGGGAGCTGCTCGTATCTGCAGAACACGAAAGCCGTCCGGCTTTTGCCCAGCAGTCCAGTTTTCCACTTTCAATCGGCCTAGAACGGGGATTGATCGAGGGGATTAGCAAAGACAACTATTGTAGCACATCATGAGGTGAGGATGGCTGACTATATTGCTTATAATTAGTGAGTTAATTTCATAAGATTGCCTAAGGTAATTAAATGGGATTTTCATGGATTATTCATGATTAATGATGCCTAAATGAAAATAATATTGATATGAGTAAGTGAAGCATGATATACAAATTTAGAATAATTGTGTACGATTATGTGAAATGAATGGAACGGCATGTTAATGGAATTACTATGATGACATTGTGATAAAATATACTTTACTTCATGTATGAAATTCATGAATGGATTAAGGTGATATTTTTTATATTGGGATCAAACTATACTTGGGTTGGGAAATCAATTGAAATGAAATGTCAATTGGAAAATAGGAACTTGGCATGTCCTAAAATTTATCCAACTAGTATCAAAATACTAGTCGGGGAATTAATATAAATAAATGATGAAATAAATCCTAAGAGGTAGGATTGTGAATAGATATGCCTTAAGTAGTCTCAAGAGATACTTTAAGGTTGAATTGTATGAACACTAAAGTGTGTTAAGGGTAGGCCTAAAGGCTACCCAAGGGAATTGATTCTAGGCATAGGATTTGCTTGAGAATTGGATTATGAAAATAATTAGAGTTGGACTCTAGGATGACATGGAAATGTAGTTGGGCCGAGCTCTTGCCATGTAATATGATCAGCATGGAAACGTAGTTAGGCCGAGCCCTTGCCATGTATTTGTGATCTTCGTGGAAACGTAGTTGGGCCGAGCCCTTGCCACGAAGTTATGGTTGGTATGGAAACGTAGTTGGGCCGAGCCCTTGCCATACAATTTTGATGGGTTATATTGAGTTAGAGGATTGTATAGAAATGTAGTTGGGCCGAGCTCTTGCTATACAATTGGGGCTCGATAGGACCCCATGGGGTTATCGTTACTTGCGGTCACGGGGGAATGGAAATGATGAATTCTAAATGAATGTGGGCCCACAGGCCGACTACTTGACTTCATATTAAGTAAGTATGATTTAAATAGCAAAAAGGGGTAACCGAGGGTTATGGCTTAAAATGTAATATCACCCTGAATTGAGGGTCTTAGAAATTTAAACATTGATTATACTTAGTATAGTTGCTATTGTACTTGTCAAATGTTTCCAAGTACTGACCTCCCCTTCACGGGGCAGGCCACCTCACAGTTTCAGGTAGAACTTGAAGGTTGCTGCCACCGCCCGTTGCTTCGGGAAGATCGAAGGGAGAAGACGTGGTTCGTGCTTCTTCCGTTTCTGTTTTGAAAATAATTTAAAACAATGTTCATGGATAATATTTTCTGAATAATTACCTTGGGGGCTTGCATGTCTAATTATGCCAAGTGTGGCTTGAACACTTGTATCAACTGTTTCCGTTGCTTTAATAAATGTTTTACATTATGTTTGTTTATGAATGTACTATGTGTGAATGATATTCAAGACGCCTTGTATAGTATGGATGAGTCGGACCGCGGTTGACTATTCATACTGTACGGCGGGTTGTTGACGTGTCCGGATAGGTCCGGGGCGTGACAATTGGGACTTCCAACTAATACAGGATCCACACAAAGTAAACACATAAGAAGTGGTAGACTTCCTATTATCCTTATCATTAGCATAGTTAGAATCCACATATCCACATAACAGAGTACCATCAGAACACTTAGCAAAAAACAAACCATGATTCACAGTTGATTTAAGGTATCTCAAAAGCCATTTCAGAGAATTCCAGTGAGACGTACCAGGATTTGACATATAACGACTCAAACAACTTACAGCATAAGCAATGTCAGGCCTAGTACTGACCATAAGATACATCACAGATCCTATATCACTGGAATAAGGAACAGATTTCATATCACTCATTTCAGAATCAGTCTTGGAGGACTGATCCTTACATAGCACGAAATGTGATGCTAAAGGAACATTCACAGGGGAAGCAGATTGCATGTTGAATTTACTCAAAACCTTCTCTACATAAGAAACTTGGTTTAACAAAAGAGTAGACTTGCTTCTATCCCTAATGATATTGATGCCTAGGATCCTCTTAGCATCCCCTAGGGTTTTCATGGAAAAATTATCACAGAGACACTTTTGCACATGAACAATGGAATCAAGATTAGGACTGATAATTAACATATCATTCACATAAAGTAATAAGAATACTGGCACAGATGAGGTATCCTTATAATATAAGCAATGATCACAAGCAGACTTAAAAAATTTCATAGATTTCATGCATTGATCAAACTTAATATTCCATTGCCTAGGAGACTGCTTCAGACCATATAAGGCCTTCCTTAGCAAACACACATAATCACTTTTCTTGGGATCCACAAACCCTTCAAGTTGGGTCATATAGATCTTTTTATCAAGATCACCATGCAGAAAAGCAGTGGTCACATCCATCTGTTTCATTTCCCAATTAAAGTGAGCAACTAAAGCAAGCATGATCCTAACAGTAGTAAACTTAATCACATGAGCAAAAATTTCAGCATAATCTACCCCCTCTTTTTGCGTAAACCCCTTAGCCACTAACCTAGCCTTAAATCTCACACTTTGAGGTTCTTCCATGACCTTAAACAACCACTTGCATTCAGGGGCGGATCCAGGATCGAGAGATGGGGTGGGCTAAGCAGCAGTAATTTTTTTTACTATACATACCAAATTTAGCCCAGGGTTGTTATCGAACAAAGATTTTTTTTGAATTATATACTCGAGTTCGAGCTTGATTTCGAATCTAATTTAATGAATTGAGTTTAACAAGTTTCGAACTCGAACACGGAGTAGGTTTTGAGTTTGAATAATTATTCAAGCCGAGATCGAACATAGTGATGTTTCGATCCGAACACAAGCCTATCGTTCACATATAAATTATACTATTGTACATATCATAAAATTTAAACGTTTTAGTGCAATTTTTATAAATTTATTAATGATTAATAAAAATTTGAATACTCTAAACTTCTACATTCGAGCATGTCTATCGAGCATTGAAATCCAAATTTGAGATAGTTTGGATTTCAGGGACTACAACATGTGGAGGATCCTCATTGACTAGATCTTGCACTGTTGTAGGTATAGGTTCAGAACTCCCTTCACCAGTTTGACGATTCACTTTCGAAAAGAATGATGAAATCAACTTCTTTCCCTTCTTGGCAACATGTTCATTATCCATTCTAAAAATCATTTTCAATATTGGTATATATTAAAATACTTATATATAAAAAATAAAACTATTTATTTATGTACTGAAAAATTCAAGTAATAATCAAAGCGATTGTATGATTCCCTAGCCCTAAAACTCTAAAATGCTAAAAATAATAATAATTAATACATTAATAGTTTAATACACAATCGGTTAATCACAGTTTACAAATTCACGGCAGAAGTTCATAACTTAACTGATTCACAAATTAAAATTCACGAACTACACAAATTAAAATTCAACACCAACACCAAACTCAATCGGTCAAATTATACCAAATAGGCACAAATTACTTGGTAAAAGGGCAAGACCGCAAGAAGATTTACCTGGAGGAATGAAGGCTGGCCGCTGGACTGCCGTCTGCCGGAGTGTCGGTCGCTGGAGCCTGGAGGACTGGTCGAGAAAGCGAGAGGCCGAGAGAGGGAGGCTGGAGGCAGTCAGGTCAGTCGGAGCCAGAGGCGTTCGGCGTTCCGTTCGCTGCTTTAGTGCGGCGGCTGTTCCGTCGCCCTTCGCCGTTCGCCACTTCGCCCGTTTCGTTCGTTGTCTTCGTCCCTTCGGTGTTCAGAGAATCGGAGGTTCCGAGGTTAAGTTGCCGACTGCGTGTGGCCGTGTGCGTAACTGCGTAATGACGTATGGTTTAGTTGCCAGTTTTTTTGTCGGCTGGGCTGGGCTGGAAATTATTTGTGGGGTGGGCTGACAAATAATTTAGGCTGGGCTGAGATTTGAAAATGTACCAATACTATTAAAAAAAATGGGCTGGGCTGAAGCCCACCCCTGGCCTAGCAAACATCCGCCCCTGCTTGCATTCTACAACAGAACAATTAGGAGGTCTAGGGACCAAGGTCCAGGTTTTGTTAACTCTAAGAGACTCCATCTCACTATTCATGGCATCAAGCCACTTCTGGGACTCCTTAGAGGTAAGGGCTTCCTTATAGGTTTTGGGTTCATTTAACTCAAGGGTCTCAAACACAGAGTAAGCAAATATGGAGGTATCATGCACATGAAAAGCATAATCAGACATAGAATCAGACACCTCCTTAACAGTCCTTCTACTCCTATCTCCAACAAGTTGATAGTTATGAAAGTCATGTACATCATGCTCCACAGAATCATGTTCTTCAGAATTATCACGAGAAGACTCCGCCCCACTAGAAGGGGTGGTCCCATGCAGGCACTAGTGGAAAAACGGAGATTGGAGGCGCTTCTGAACAGGCGCGTGCGGCGCTTCGAAGCGCCTCCGATTATTCTGCCGCAAATGCTATATTGGAGGCGCTTTTTAAGAAAAAGCGCCTCCAATTTTTTTTTTTTTTATTCGAATATTTGCGGCGCTTTTTATACAATAAGCGCCGCACGCCCGACATCTTACATCATAATTCGTGGCGCTTTTTTCATTACAAGCGCCTCTAATATGTATAAAAGAATCACACATTAGAGGCGCTTTATTTGTAGAAGCGCCTCTAATTTCAATTTTTTTAAATAAACAAAATTTTAATTATCAAATATCCTGCTTTATTTACAAAACGCTTGAAAGACATTATGCACATTCATTCATAAACTCCGTATTAAACGTACAATCAGAATTCAACTCCATAAAAGTTCAAATATTCCAACACAATAAAAAATTACATTAACATCTTCAAATTTCTACAAATCCTACATATTCATAATGTCATCTACAAAAAATCTAGCCCACACATTTCTGATTTCATCAAACTCTTCCTTCGAATATGGTTGAGTTCTTGAATTCCAAACCTGAAAGCATTGATAAGAACATAAATAAAATGGATAATATTAAACTAAATTATATATAAATAAGTTATTTAGTGAAAACCACTTGTTGAAGTATATAAATAAAATACATGTCCAATATCAGAATTTCCAACATAAGATATTACTTCCCACATAAATTTCATGGCATAGTACCCACATTCTGTATTGCCTGTTTGCTTTGCACACTTTAAATTGATGAAAAATATACAACATTATTACATAATAAGATAAATTTTTTCAAATAACTCTTCTTTTTATTTAAGGCATAAATATTATATATAAATAAGAGTAGATATCACATCAAATGTACCTTGATGTCATGCCACTTAATTGATTTGCCTCGACCCTTTTGTGTGGAAGCAACTCTATACATCCTACAATGCCAACTCAATATATACACATTGTCAATATCGACATAAAAACATTAATGTTAGAGATCACAACTAAATCATAAAAAACATACATCGTCAAGTCGTTTTGAATAGCAATATGGGATGAACTTGGCAATGAATTGAAGATATAGCCTCTATCAACCTTTGGACAAATTACAATCACAATCCAGTGATACCTATATTTAATAAGACAATACAAGGGGGTGAAGACTTGCTACATCACGATTAATAAATATGTAAAAAGAATACCATATATAAATCATACCCTTCATTATATGCCAACATAATGAAATTTTTCTCAAAGAATTCAATCAGAGCATGCTTCATGTAAGTCAGTGTGCCTTTTCTATCGACTTCATAATATCCAAAAGAACAAATATGAGGACACAAAAGACCCACATCATCACGACCAAGCTCAATCGATTTAGCATTTAAACAACTGCATATAGAAAAAATAATTAATCACTAATCATGTCTAACAAATGTTCAAGAGTATTTCTGAATGTATTACAATACTTACAGCATAAAGATCTGAATAATAGACATATCAACAGAATCACCCTCAAGAAATTGACTCAAGTCTTCACGGTCAACAATGGTCCCAAATTGCATATCTTTAACATAACAGAACACATCCGCAGGAAGAGGTATAGAAAACTTACAAAGGTCGGGCTCATACCACTCAAGATTCTCATGCAATCTTAAAAGATCATCAGTAAGTGAATGAAGAACAGCCTCACTGACCAATGCACATGAGCTGGGTTCAACCATTACTTTTGGTGAGTCCCTCGGGATAAAAGGCAGTTTCTTTTTTGCAACATCCTTCTTTTTTGGCTTAGATGGTGGTTCCTAAAACAATTATAATAACAAATATGATACATATTTATAGCGAGATAATACAACAAATTAAATAGTACAGATCAACCATTACTTGATTACCTCTCCCTAAAAAAAAACTAACTGCGCTGGCCACTGAACAAAAGAACCTACAGCATCTGCTACAACATTCATATCAGCGGCTTCATTAGGATATAGCAAGGGACAATTTTCAAAGTTTGGATATGCCATAGATATGTTCACTTTAATGGTGTTTTCAGATATCGGCACATTGTGGATTAGCCCCCCGCTAGGCGTGTTGTAGGCTACCGCCATGGCAACAAAATCAAAGCTCTTATCACCACATTAAGTGTGTGACTCAACGGCTAGCCTACAAGACACACCATCCTGCATGCATGTATTTTCATAATAAATGACAAAATAAAACAAAAACTACAATGAAAATTAAACACTTGTTACTTTAAACTCAATTACAACTTACCGTGAAACTTTTTTTAAGACGAGGTGCAGCAGAATTCATGGTATCCACATGGGCCGCCTCAGAAGCTGTCATCGAATCCCCGGTAGGTACTTCACCTCTTGAAACGAAGTAGTGTTGCATGTCTTTTACCAACCGCTCTTGCAACTGTTTTAGGTCAGCTTCACTCAAATTACCAACTTTATCTCGATGCCCACTTCTTAGGTCTCGATCAAAGACACGTGTAAAACCCACACCACCACCGACGCCACGTGCACGTCCAGGATAATCTGGCTTCCCAACAATCTCAGTTAGAATATCATGACGTCCAGTTGGCTTCCAATTCCCTGTTGCTACATCTGCTTGAACTTTATCCTAGTATTGAAGCAATAGAATGTAATGTTGAAAAATAAACATAACTTAACTAAATGAGCAAATTTTACTAACTATAACTTACCAATTTTTCTTTTTTCTCACGCATGCCCTCAGTATTACCAGGGAACACTAAGCGACCATCCGCTGTTAATCCTGATCTTGCACAAAACCAACTGACATGTCTAGGAATATCATCAGTAGTGGTTGTGCTAGAGTTCGATGAATCTACCTCTGAACTGGTAAGAAACTGATCTATAATCCTTGCTCTTTCCATTTCGGTATGGAAAGAACATATCCTGAACGCCCCATATGATGAGGATAGATATTCTGAAGAGCAGATAGTTTGTTCTTCTCGCTCAAAGCCTTGCAAATGTTACATAAATATTAAATAACTAGTTAATTAAAAATATTGAGTAGTTATTAATTCTATGACATACCATAAACTCAGGAGTCATACTCCTCGTCTTGAATTCCTCCCACTCTTCTTTGATAAGTTGGTCTTTGTATCTTTCATAAGCTTCACCAGCATCCTTCCCCACTTGACATGTCTTAGATAAGTAACCCGTCCGCAACCGATTCCTCCAATCTCGATGCATTTTGGCCATCCTTTTCATCAATGGTTTTTCCATGCTATCATCCACCGCATAGTCATGCTGCATACAATATAAAAAGAAAGTGTTAGCACAAATTATAAACTAATATTGAAATAAAGATAAATATATGAGCTTGTAGAATTTAAAATTTTATACATACTTGTATCTCTCTAAAGATTTGACCTTTTAGCTTTTTTGAAACTTTTCTCCAATCATCAATGTTTATGCTCACCCGAGAACGCACCATCTTCCCCATGAATGACTTAAACTCTTCAGCCCACTCACCTATGGGAGTATCATTATCTGCAAATTCAATTATTTTTTTGCCATCACTGTCTCTACGACCGCCGCCGCCGCCATGATTGTCGTGATTATGAACATCATCGTCTCCGTCTTCCCCGCTCATAGTGTGTACCTGCACTGCAATTCAAACTCATATTTATTAGCACGTATAGTATTGTTAATATTAATATAATAACTTTTTTAAATTATTAAATATACTACATTCAAAACAACTTACAATTCCTCACTTTGCTTTTTCCGTAAGCACTTCAATGCCGTCATTATGGTGTGCGATGAAGGGAAGATCATCCTCATTGTGATCATATGTTGTGTTTCTTTCACGCATCCCGATGGATAATGAGGGCATTTCCTCAACATAATCATCTTCATCATCCTCAAAATTACATGTAATCTTTTTCTTGCCGGGTAAACAAATGGACCATCATTTATTTGAAGGATCTTCTACATAAAACACTTGTTCAGCTTGTGATGCAAGTATGAACGGATCACCATGATGTCCTGATCGGTTAAAATCTACTAATGTGACTCCAGTGTCATCACGTTGCACCCCTCGACGAATGTCAACCCATTGACACTTGAAAATGGCAAAAGCTCGATTTGTGTAATTTAACTCCCAAATGTCTTCTATTTTTTCATAGTAAGACATCCTCGCATATAATGGATTTCGATCATTTGCGCTAGCATACTCAGTCGAAGATGCTATCACAGACACACCACTATTCTGTAACACTGACTTCTCATCGTGTCTGGTAGTATAAAAAGTGTAGCCATTGATATCATATGCTTCAAAAGAATCAAGTGGTCGTTTCGGACCATAAGCCAACCACTTAATATCATCATCAACATCAAAATGCACATTATCAGTGTCATTGAATATTAAATCCTTAAACCAAGATGCAAAGGTTCGGTTGTGTTCTTTTGTCAACCAGATTTCACTTTTCAAAGGAAACTGAGATCTCAAGACATTCATATATTGTTGCACATAAGGATGAACAACTTCAAGATGATGCAATACGAGAAGATGAGCCTTTCCCAACAAGTCATTATCCACATTCTTTACTTGTTTCTTCCCAAGAGTGCCCTTTCCTTCAAGTCTGTCATCATGTCTAGACTTTGGTACTCCCAAAGATTCAACATTCGTTAAATATGGCGTACAAAATTCAATGACTTCTTCATCAATTAAACCTTTGATGATGCTACCTTCCGGTCGACAATGATTTTTTACTTTTGATTTTAAATACCCCATGTGTCTCTCCATTCCGTACATGTACCTCAAAAACACCGGCCCACACATCTTTACCTCTCTGACTAAATGCACAACAAGATGCACCATAATGTCAAACAATGATGGCGGAAAGTACATCTCAAGTTGACATAATGTAACAACCACTTCTGATTGCAAATCATCAAGTTTCTCTGGATGAATTACTTTTTGACATATAGAATTGAAGAAGAAACTCAACCTCATAATGGCATGCCGAACATGATCGGGTAGAAGACATCAAAACATGATAGTCGTGAGACTTCAGCCCAACCAATTTCATATCTTGTAGCGATACAAGATTTCTAATATTTGACGCATACCCTGATGGCACCTTTATCCCATGTAAGCACTCACAAAAACTTTTTCTCTCAGCCTTTGATAATGTATAACTGCCTGGTGGAAGAAAAAATCCATTCTCACGTGGTTGTGGTGCTAATTCTTTCCGAATATTTAGATGTTCAACCATGTCTTTTCGAATATTTATGCCATCTTTTGACTTTCCAGGGACATTCAAAATAGTCGAAATGATGCTGTCACACACATTCTTTTCAATGTGCATGAGATCAAGACAGTGCCTTACTGATAGGTCTTTCCAATACGGAAGCTCCCAGAATATAGATTTCTTCTTCCAAAGACTCTGCTTGTTCCGTTTATAAGGCTTTCCGAAGATTGTGTTCAAATCTTTCACCTTATCATACACATCATGACCACTTAGTGGTGGACGAGCTACTTCATGCTCAGTTTTTCCATTAAATGCCTTCTTCAATGCACGATAACGATGAGTGCGCGGAAGAAACCTTCGATGATTCATGTAAACATTTTTTTTACAATGAGGTAATCGCAAATCAGCTGTATCATCTTCACATATAGGACATGCTTTTGCACCTTTGACTGTGTAACCTGAAAGATTGCCATATGCTGGAAAATCATTTATAGTGCAATACAACATAGCACGCATTTGAAAATAAGATTTGGTATGCATGTCGTATGTTGTAACACCTTCGGTCCACAACAATTTCAGATCATCAATAAGCGGTGCAAGGTACACATCGATATCATTACCCGGTTGTTTGGGTCCTGAGATAAGAAGAGACAACATGATATATTTGTGTTTCATGCACAACCATGAAGGCAAATTGTAAATAACCAATAGAACGGGCCACGTGCTGTGTTGACTGCTGAGTGTACCATATGGGTTCATACCATCTGTGCATAGGCCAAGTCTCAAATTTCTGTCCTCTCTGCCGAACTCAGGATATTTCAAGTCAATTTGCCTCCATTGTGGAGAATCAGACACATGACGCAAGTACTCGTCTTTTTTTCTACCCTGAGAATGCCAAACCAAATGTTTTGAATCTTTTGCATTCATGAACAACCTTTTAAATCTCGGAATAATAGGGAGATACCACAGAACTTTCACAGGAATTTTGGAACTCTCGGAGTCACTCACACTATTTATACTCCTTTTTTCCTTGTAGCGAGAAAGATGACATGTTGGACATTCATCAAGGTTTTCGTACTCATTTCGGTACAACACATAATCATTGGGACAAGCGTGGAATTTCTCCCATTCAGCTCCCATGGGACACAGTAACTTTCTTGCCTTGTAAGTTGTATCAGGAAGTGTATTCCCTTCAGGCAACATCTCTTGAATTAATGTCAATAACTCTGTAAAGCTGACATTACTCCATCCATGTTTTGCTTTCAAATGAAATAATTTCAACACCGCAGACAGCTTGGTAAAAGTAGAGCCAGAATACAAAGGTATTCTGGCGGCATCAACCATACTTTCATATGATTTTGGTTGTTGTTCAAAATTATCATGCACATCCTTCAAAAAATCATTAAATGTTGCATCATTTAAATCATCATCCCCATTACCGCCACTGTTCCAACTGGAGTTGGTGGTAGTATCGGGAGCTTTGCGCTTTAAAGTACTAGCGGCAGCTCGCGAAATAACATTATCATTATCCTCGTAAGTCTCTCCATGTAATGTCCAAATGATGTAATTTTCTCTAAATCCTCTCTCAAACAGATGTTGAAGTATAACGTTGGCGTCACTCTCTCTTCTCAAGTTTCGGCACCTTAAACAAGGACATAAAATTCCTGTATGTCCTTGTTGTTTCTGGTATGTAACGGCGGCTTTGATAAACCCATTCACACCAATTAAAAATTCAGAAGTGTCTCGACGACCATACATCCAAGAACGATCCATCTTGAATGAAATTCTACATTTGTCTAATAATCATATATCATAAAATGTGCATATAATTATTTTAGCAATA